TCAACAAGTGCTGGTGATTCAAGTCAACAAGTGCTGGAGATTCAAGTCAACAAGTGCTGGAGATTCAAGTCAACAAGTGCTGGAGATTCAAGTCAACAAGTGCTGGAGATTCAAGTCAACAAGTGCTGGAGATTCAAGTCAACAAGTGCTGGAGATTCAAGTCAACAAGTGCTGGAGATTCAAGTCAACAAGTGCTGGAGATTCAAGTCAACAAGTGCTGGTGATTCAAGTCAACAAGTGCTGGAGATTCAAGTCAACAAGTGCTGGAGATTCAAGTCAACAAGTGCTGGAGATTCAAGTCAATGGGTGAGGCAGATTCAAGTCAGTGGGTGAGGCAGATTCAAGTCAATGGGTGAGGGAGATTCAATTCAACAAGTGCTGGAGATTCAATTCAACAAGTGCTGGAGATTCAAGTCAATGGGTGAGGGAGATTCAAGTCAACAAGCGCTGGAGATTCAAGTCAACAAGTGCTGGAGATTCAATTCAACAAGTGCTGGTGATTCAAGTAAACAAGTGCTGGAGATTCAAGTCAATGGGTGAGGAAGATTCAAGTCAACAAGTGCTGGTGATTCAAGTCAACAAGTGCTGGTGATTCAAGTCAACAAGTGCTGGTGATTCAAGTAAACAAGTGCTGGAGATTCAAGTCAATGGGTGAGGGAGATTCAAGTCAACAAGTGCTGGAGATTCAAGTCAACAAGTGCTGGGGATTCAAGTCAACAAGTGCTGGGGATTCAAGTCAACAAGTGCTGGAGATTCAAGTCAATAAGTGCTGGAGATTCAAGTCAACAAGCGCTGGAGATTCAAGTCAACAAGCGCTGGAGATTCAAGTCAACAAGTGCTGGAGATTCAAGTCAACAAGTGCTGGAGATTCAAGTCAACAAGTGCTGGAGATTCAAGTCAACAAGTGCTGGAGATTAAAGTCAACAAGTGCTGGAGATTAAAGTCAACAAGTGCTGGAGATTCAAGTCAACAAGTGCTGGAGATTCAAGTCAATGGGTGAGGGAGATTCAAGTCAACAAGTGCTGGAGATTCAAGTCAACAAGTGCTGGAGATTCAAGTCAACAAGTGCTGGATATTCAAGTCAACAAGTGCTGGATATTCAAGTCAACAAGTGCTGGTGATTCAAGTCAACAAGTGCTGGAGATTCAAGTCAACAAGTGCTGGAGATTCAAGTCAACAAGTGCTGGAGATTCAAGTCAACAAGTGCTGGAGATTCAAGTGAATGGGTGAGGGAGATTCAAGTCACCAAGTGCTGGAGATTCAAGTCACCAAGTGCTGGAGATTCAAGTCACCAAGTGCTGGAGATTCAAGTCACCAAGTGCTGGAGATTCAAGTCACCAAGTGCTGGAGATTCAAGTCACCAAGTGCTGGAGATTCAAGTCACCAAGTGCTGGAGATTCAAGTCACCAAGTGCTGGAGATTCAAGTCACCAAGTGCTGGAGATTCAAGTCACCAAGTGCTGGAGATTCAAGTCACCAAGTGCTGGAGATTCAAGTCACCAAGTGCTGGAGATTCAAGTCAACAAGTGCTGGAGATTCAAGTCGATGGGTGAGGAAGATTCAAGTCAACAAGTGCTGGAGATTCAAGTCAACAAGTGCTGGTGATTCAAATCAATGGGTGAGGGAGATTCAAGTCAACAAGTGCTGGTGATTCAAGTCAACAAGTGCTAGAGATTCAAGTCAATGGGTGAGGAAGATTCAAGTCAACAAGCGCTGGAGATTCAAGTCAACAAGCGCTGGAGATTCAAGTCAACAAGTGCTGGAGATTCAAGTCAACAAACGCTGGAGATTCAAGTCAACAAGTGCTGGAGATTCAAGTCAACAAGTGCTGGAGATTCAAGTCAACAAGTGCTGGAGATTCAAGTCAACAAGTGCTGGTGATTCAAGTCAACAAGTGCTGGAGATTCAAGTCAACAAGTGCTGGAGATTCAAGTCAACAAGTGCTGGAGATTCAAGTCAACAAGTGCTGGAGATTCAAGTCAACAAGTGCTGGAGATTCAAGTCAATGGGTGAGGGAGATTCAAGTCAATGGGTGAGGGAGATTCAAGTCAACAAGTGCTGGAGATTCAAGTCAACAAGTGCTGGAGATTCAAGTCAACAAGTGCTGGAGATTCAAGTCAACAAGTGCTGGAGATTCAAGTCAACAAGTGCTGGTGATTCAAGTCAATGAGTGCGGGAGATTCAAGTCAACAAGCGCTGGAGATTCAAGTCAACAAGTGCTGGAGATTCAAGTCAACAAGTGCTGGAGATTCAAGTCAACAAGTGCTGGAGATTCAAGTCAACAAGTGCTGGAGATTCAAGTCAACAAGTGCTGGAGATTAAAGTCAACAAGTGCTGGAGATTAAAGTCAACAAGTGCTGGAGATTCAAGTCAACAAGTGCTGGAGATTCAAGTCAACAAGTGCTGGAGATTCAAGTCAATGGGTGAGGGAGATTCAAGTCAACAAGTGCTGGAGATTCAAGTCAACAAGTGTTGGATATTCAAGTCAACAAGTGCTGGAT